GTAATCTCCGCGGCCGGCAGCCAGAGCCGCCGGGCTGGGGCGGGCCGCCCACGGGGCAGCCAAAACTCAGTCAGATGAGGAGCTCAGCCCGCGGCTTTGTCCCGCTCTGCGGGCTGTGGCCGTGGGGAAGCAACGAGCGAGTGTGCGGTCGAGCTGTCGGGAGGAATGACACCAAAGCACAAGGTAATCGCCCTGTCGTTTTCTTCAGTAGCTGAAAGCTACAGCGAGTGGGTGGCTAACGGGTGTGTTTTCTGCTCTGACTGGAATGAAGAAAGTGCATGTGCTGTGGTATTAAGCGTGGGAAAGCTCTCTGTGGCTGTTGTAAGGCTTTGTGAAGTTGGATGTTTCTGTCATAAAAAAGTCAGACCCACTGAGAAGAATCCCAATGGCTAGAGATGGAAGGCAAAAATCTGTGTTTTAATATAATAATAACTTAATTTCTTTGGCACCTTTTATTCCTGTAGTGTAGTTTACTAAATTTTGCAAAGGAAATCTTGCCCATACTAAGAATGGAGTACCAGTCCCTGCTGAGAGGGTCTAGCACACAGAGCAAGGTAAGCAGAACTGTCTTGGCCTCTGAAGCTGGATCCTGCAGAGAGTTTGTAGCTTTAATAATGATGCCCAGATGTGGATTCTTCGATGGTTTCATGTTTACTTTTAAATAAAAATACATTGTGTGATCAGGCTTGTGAAGTTTTGTGTTCTCCTTAGATGCTTAGCTGTATTATAAAATGGAAGCTGTGAAAGCATGTTTTCTGATTCTGATGTTTTACATTGCATGTAAATTGAATTTGTTTGTGGCATGTTTCTGAAATAAGGTGAAAGTGCTTATAAACTGTCAGGAGTTAAGTAGCTTACAAAACAGAGCAGGCTGTTGCCCCTGCCCTAAGAAATCAGAGCCCAAACTCCAATGTGACACAACATGTTACAGTGTAATGAGCAGACGGATTTGGGCAGGAAGAACGAAGCTGTCAAAACAAAACATAAGTTATGTGATGTATTTTAATGTTTCTGGGTTTTTTGTTAGCTTGTTTTCAGTCTTTTCTGGATTGCAGGTTGTACCCGTGTGACACGCAAAATACGTTGACAATATTTGGTTAATAGAAAGGTCTGAGTGTGCAATGCCAGCATTTACCACCTCTAGTTTAATTTTTTCCTACCATACTCACTGCAGCCCTTACTTATTACTCTTAATTCATTGCTTTGGTTGTCATTCAGAGAACCACTTTTTATTCTTATGAAACTGTAAGGATATATTAATTGGATTTTACTTTAATAAGATCCGTTTCAATTTCTTATTAATTTCAGTCCTGAATGAAGGAAGTTTTGATGAATTATCTTCAGGAAAGACACAGCTCTTTCAGAATACAGTATAGGATCTGGAATAACTCAACATTTCTGGGAACTGGACCAGGAATGAGAATGATGAACCAGTCTACATATCTTACAATGAGATATTCAGGGAGTACAAGCTTATAAAAAGAATTACGTACAGTCTCTATGAAGGAAGAGGAAGTCTGGTCACAGAAGTGCCTTTAATATAGGAGACATTGTTGTATCCGGCTGAAGTTAGACAAAAAGATAGTATGAGATTAAATTAGGACCTAATTTTTAATGAAAGTGTTGCTGAACATTTGAACTGGTTGATTTTAGTACTATCATATTCGATAAAAAAGTAGAGTCAAGAAGCATCACATCAGAAAGGCGGACACGGTCTAAACCTCTAGAGATCTGCTCTGACCCAGAGGCCTAATCTGAAGTATAAGGTTTTATGACCAGTTAGACTCTCTTGAGATGAGAATGTATCATGATGCTGGTTTCTGTTGACCTTAAAACCAGTGAGCCTGTGAATCGTGAATTTTAGTTCATAAACACTGAATTATGAATGTAACTAAGTAATCAATATTGAAAAATTAAAAAGTGCATGCTGATAGACTTTAGATTGAATACTAATGCCAGTGAACAATATGTTGTGATTTAAGATACTGAGGTTTAGCACCTGCTAACTTGCAGACATCCAATAATCAACTTAGGGACTTGATGAGGGAAATAAAATACTGTTATTTCTCACATCTCAGGTGAAATGTGAGTCATAGAAATTGGGATTTGGTTAATTCTACTACTGAGTCATTGTTCCGCTAACACCAAACATGAAGAATCCTAACATTCTTTCATAAAAAATAGACACCATGAGCAGCGTGATTTGTGCAAAAAGCATTTACACAGTTCAATAAATAAGTCATCAGCCGTGCAATGGTTGTGTTGCCTACACTTAGTCTGGATGCTTGTAATCGTTGAATCTCGAAAAAACCTTAGTGATCATGGCCAAATTCAAGTGAAATATTTCTCCTGCTGCAGGTGTTTGAGAGTTTATGGAGTTTTGTAAACAAGTAATTTCACTGTTCAAAACTAAATACATGATACATTTCACTGTGATTTTCTTCTAGATATTATAGGCATGTGCTTTTAAGGCCGTATCTCTTTTCATTCCTGTTACTCTCTTCTGTTCTCTAGTTCCCCAGCTGCACCTTGTTTCTGGCTGTTTGTGCTGTTGGAATTGGAGGGACCTTTCAGTATGGATATAATGTTTCCATTATCAATGCACCCACCCAGGTAAAATATCTCCGGTTCAGAGGGTTGTTTTACAGCAATGGAGGTATCTTGTCTAAATGGCTGAGAGGCCAAATGCCCTTTTGCAGCATTAACAAAGGCAGACTTTCTCTTGTTTGAAGGATTCTTGTTGATTGCCAAAATGATTTCCTGTGAATTTGTTTGTGAGTGTCTCCCATTAGAGGTATTCTGTGTCAGACAAAAGTGTCAAATATGCCACATAAATACCTCTGTTAAAGTCTGTTTTAGAAGGATTAACATAAACACCTCAGTTAAAGTCTGTTTATAAGGATTAACTGAATGAATAAGTAACATCTTCCAGTTACACCTTTGACTAAAAGAACATAGAACATTAAGAATGGAATAGATTAGAACAGAACATTTTCAGTTGGAAAGGATCTACAGTAATCGTCTAGTCCAACTGCCTGACCACTTCAGGGCTGACCAAAAGTTAAAGCACATTATCAACAGCATTGTCCAAATGCCTCTTAAACACTGACAGGCTTGGAGCATCAACCACATGTCTAGGAAGCCTGTTCCAGTGCTTGACCACCCTTTCTGTAAAGTGTCATCACCGTTTCTCCTAATGTCAAGTTTAAACCTCCCCTGATGCAGCTTTGAACCATTCCCACACATCCTATCACTGGGTGAGAGGGAGAAAGGATAGTTACAGTTGTCTGTCACAAGGCAGCTTACTGAGACAGACTGTAGAGAGTCAAAAAGTTAATCTGTAGTGTCTGGTTGTTGCTTTTGCGTCCATTGCCATGGCCTTGAGGATTCTGCATATTCTGTGGATGACTCAAGGATCTGAGCAAAAGGTCTTGTGAAAGTGATGTGTATCATTTTCTGCTGTCAGCTGATTTATTTTCTTGCGAAACTGTGAAGGCTGAATTTGCTACAACATTGTATACTTTTTGTAAAGGTTAAAATAATCTGTGAAAGAACATGTAATAATGCTGGAAACAGAGGGAGCGTCCAGCAAGTTTGTTCTTCTGTAAAGTCTTTGCTTGCTGAGAACAGGAGCCTCTGATTACGGATACATGCCAGTTCAAGAGTTTCTAAAGAAAAATTTTAGGAAACCAAGCATGTAGAATAACAGTTTAAAAGTTCTGACACATGAATACTGTAAGAAAGGCGGAGGAATGTTAGAGTTGCAGAAAGGGATTTTACTATGAATTGTTGGATTACACTAAGGCAGGAAGATTTAAATCAAGTGTCGGAGTGAGTCTTCTGGCAGTAATTTTTTTCAGGTTATGTGAGACCTCTGTGCTCTGAGATGTTTCTAAAAAACATTAGGACCTACCCATCCTCCCTGTCACCCCTTCGTTCAGAAGGACCTCAAAGGTCTTTCATAGTACCACTACAGAAGGTTTATGTTTCTCCTCTAGTGGCATACAGCCTTCCTTGAGGTAGGGTACAAAAGCAAAGCTGCTTAGCAGTCTTTGAGATGTATGGGGAGTAGGCATTGGTATTGTGGACGAGGAAGATTCTGCTAGTTATTGGTATTTTTAATATAATACAGCTAAGATGATATCTTTTGTTAGCTACTGGAATTGGTTTTCAAGATTGAGGTGCAAATTATTTTGAAGTTATCTGTAACTGTAGGGCTACACATAATGCTACACATTCATCATTCTTTTCGACTGCAGCATATACACAAGTTCTTAAATGAAACCTGGACAAGTCGTTATCACAAGGAACTAAATCCAGATTTGCTGACTTTTCTTTGGTCTGTCATTGCTTCTATATTTTCACTTGGAGGACTGTGTGGAGCCCTTATTGGAGGCAGCATGGCGATCCAGCTAGGCAGGTGAGTTATAGCAGCAGGCGTGTAGCAGCATGTTGTCTTTTCCTGCTTTCTCACTGGAATATAAATTAGATAAATGGAAAAAGAGTAGGAGAAAATGTACCTTAGGTGACTATAAATGTTTTTCACTTCAAAGCAGAATTTTCTAGTAGAATTTTACAGTTTGTTCCAATGTCACTTTAAAAGATGAGCTCTGAATTATAGCCTTTCAGTCTAGTCTTTCCATTACATTTATTGAAATCTAAGTAGGAGTATGCACACACGGCGTGGTAGGAAACACAGGTCACCCATACACATTTGCAGCCTTCCCGCCAGTAAGGGCATGCTGCATGATCTGTAACATTTCATGTGCATTCTGTATAGATATAGCATAAATGAACAAAGCCCCACTCCTACCTTGTCAGGCGTTTCTGTCATATTTATGCATTATCCTTATGTTCAGACTTTTTTTAAATACGAGTGAATAGTTGTATCAGATATCTGGATTTCCAGTGAATAGCATGTTTCTTCAGTATAAAGCCCATTTTTTTCCATATTACCAGAAAGGACAACTTTTTAAAAAACATGTTATTTCAGATTTCCTTAATATTTTTTTCCTCCTTTTTAGGAAAGGAGCTCTTTTGATGAATAATATTATAGCAATACTGGCCTCCATTTTAATGGGGATCAGTTTTCCTACAGGATTGTTTGAGTTACTGATTGCTGGAAGGTTTTTGATTGGCATAAATTCAGGTGAATGATTTCCTGTTCCTACTTTCAGTAAACTATGGTGAATGATAAATTATTGTCACTGCTGATTCTTTAGGTGTTACGATACATGTTTGTGTGCTTCTTTGTAGATATGATGACAAAAATGGTCTGTAGTCTAACTTGGAGTCTGAAGGCAGCTAAATTAATAGGAAATTAACTAAGTCTAATTTCCTGCATGTTTTGGTTCAGTAACTCTTTTTGAAGCAAAATCTATTAATAGGAAAATGTTTTTCCGTTTACTTGCAGGTGTTGGGATCTGTGTGCAGCCTCTGTATATTGGGGAGGTTGCCCCAAAACATCTTAGAGGGTGCATGACCATGGGGAGTTCCATCTTTCTGACTGGAGGGATTCTGACAGGACAAATAATTGGTTTGAGGTTAGAAGTGCATTTTTTTTCCTGCCTTGCATTACCTGCATGTAAAGAATTTCAATTCCATGCAAAACATTCACTGTGGCTGTTGTAGCACTAGTGAATCAACTTCACACCAGTGGTCTAGCTGTAAGAAGAAAACCTTGGTTTTGTCACCTGGTTCCTCCAACTGCAAACCTCTGTGCTGTCTCCCAATGGAAGTATTCTCAGTTTAGATGGGTCAGCCAGAACAGCATCAGTGAAACAGGTACATTTATGCTGAGTTCATACTTCCTGCCAGTTTCTTGCCAGTGGGCATTCATAAGACAGGACTGGAGAGCAAAGGACTCAAAATTACTGCATTGTAGCACTGCTGCTGATTTTGTACCTTGCGAGATCAGATGAAGTTGCTAGGGACTTCATCCAGTTGGATCGTAAAAAATGCCAAATACAGAGACTGCACACCCTCAAGATGAAAAGCTTCTTTCATGGAGTCTGCTAGAAGCTTTCCATGGCCCTAAGAGCAACTGCTAGTACCCTGAGTAACAGCACATTAACTGCTTTTGCTCTGCCCTTCTGCTGAAAGCAGACTTCTCTCTCGTTTTCCTTATTACCAGCTTCTGAATTAACTGATTTTGCTAGATACTTCAGGTATGAGGTCCTACAAAATAAGCAGAATACAGACTTCAAACTGCATAATCTAGAGTCAGTATTTAAAATGCAATACACTTCCTATTTTAACAAGTTTACATTGTCCACAACACATCAACTTCCTGATTCTAACTGTAGCACTTTTAGTGATTCCTTTCTATGTAATACACCTTCTCATTAGATCAACTTTGAATGGGAGGTGGGATCAATGACTTTATGAATTCCTTTCTATCCTAAATTATTGTATGATTCTCAAAAACAAATGCTGCCGCCGACCTTAAGGTGAAGTCTGTATGCTTGTAGTTTCCCACATTGCTAGAAAACAGTGCTTTGGCAAATCTGAAAATAATGCTTAGGACAAACACGGCAATAAGGAGCGGTAAAGTGGTGTTGCTCGTCTCATCCCAAGACCTGATTTCAGAGTGGCTGGAAAATATTTTCCCAACCTTTTTCTGCTGAGGTTCACAAGATGTAGGTAACTAGTTACAAGGGAACGTTTCATGAAGGGCAAGCATCTTGGTCACCAGTAGCTAATTATTTGTTTTGGTTTTTTTTTCTTTTTCTCCCAGGGAATTATTAGGTGGAGAAACTTATTTGCCTTGGTTGCTATCCAGCAGCTGTTTCCCAGCATTTGCCCAACTTTTATTCCTGCCATGGTTTCCTGAAAGTCCCAGATACCTTCTTATTGACAGAGGTGATGAGCTGAGCTGTGCTAAAGGTAATTTACACCGTTTATACTTTCTCTGTGTCTTTGGAAGTGTACAATGAGCATACTGGGTTCCAGATTCTCCTTTTAGCTTTATCAGCACAGTGCAGTTACATTGCCTAGTGCTTTTTGGCTAATGTTTTTCCTCCAGTGAGCTCATATCGAAAAATGGATTGTGGAACTCAGGAGTCCATAATAGATTTGGAACAAAACTTATCTCGTTTCAAATGTATGTTTATGTTTTATTACTCTTTAATGAAATCTCCAAAGTTTTCATAATTTTTCTTTTGGATGAACTAACATACCTGACCTACTTAACCTCTCACTGGATTGTTCATTTCTCAGGTCATGTCACACATTAAGTATCAGTTATGTCAGGTATTTTCTTCCATTCAGTGATACTGTTGTACTTGTCCTATAAGAAATAATTGAAAATAGTATAATAAAAAGGAGACAGCATAAGTAGCTGAAAAATTAGAGAGCTTTTTAATGAAAAAGAGGTGATGTTAAAAAAGTGATTAATTGGCTATTTGAGCAGAAAACTCCTTATCCTCCATTTTATAAATATTTAGTTATCTTTTAAATACCTTTTTTCCCTCTGTTATATCACATGGGAGAACTATGACAGCTTAAACTTTTGACTTTATCTTTGAGAGATCTATCATTGTTCTGTAATAACTGTAATGTAATAGCTGTGGAGTGCTGTGTAAATGAGCAAGTGGAGCCCATGCACTACAAGCAGAATTTGAAAGACAAAAATTCAGATTAGTTGTGATTATCCGGAAATGACACGGTTCTCTTTATACTGCAAGAAGAAACTAAATATCATGAAAGTTTTTGTTGGTTTTTTTTTTTTTTTTTTTTTTTAAAACAAGAAATTTTTTTGTTTTTTTTTTTTTTTTTTTTTTTTTTTCACAAAAGAAGACACTGAGGTAGCCATTTGTATCCTCACATACCATGGAAAATATTTTACTTCCCAGAGAGACCCGATGGAATAATACTCCAAAGACAAAAGTGTTAGTCACTATAAGTAAGCAGGTCTTATTAATTAATGCAGTTTGAAGGCCTGTTAAATAAATATGAAAAGACCCTTCCTAAAGTAATAAGTAACTAATTAATAAAATTGAGAGGACATAAAAAATTTAAAAGAGATCCAGATGTACAAATCCAGACAGTAAAATACTCAATCACATATTTTTCAGAAATGTGTTCACTATTTCTGCATCCACCTGGTATGATAATTCTGATATAGTTCACAGTGACATAAAATGACACTTGTGATCCCTGGATCTTCCATTTAAAATGCTAAATAAATGAGAGACATGAACAAAGGAAGTTTACCTTGTTAGCATTTGATAGGGTTGTATTTAATTCAATTTTCATTGTATGCATACATAAAGGAAAAACATTTCTTCTCTTGCTTTTTTTCTGTTACTTCATTTGAAGTGCTGTTGATGAGCATGTGAATTTTTACCTGTCTAGAAAAGGTATTCGTAGATAGAACAGTATATCTTGTGGAAGGATCTTCAACAAAGGAAATTAAAGAGGCTTAATTCATGGAAGCCGTTAGGCCATGGTAAAATTTGTTAGGAATTACAAAAAGGCAGTGTTCCCAGAGAGAGGTTAAATTTTGTATTGTATTGGGTACAAGATTTTTTGCTTGTACCAGCAGGCAAAAAACATTACATTTTTAGATAAAGTCATCTGTGCGTGCAGGGCTGTCTCGGCCTCCCCCGCCCCAAGTTTGTCACCCGATTTGCTAAAAATACCTCTCTCTTTGCTTACCTTGCCCAAAAATATTCAGAGACAATCACAACTGCAGGAGCACAGTAACTAAAAATGACCAATACAGTTAATTCTGTCTAATTTGGAAGCCGTGGACAAGATGACCATAATGTCCCTTTCAAATTATGATCTAGTTTGGGCTTCATTAAATGTAATTTTTTAAAATGTAACTGAAGCTTGCAATCTCCATATCTTATTAAAGTCTTTCCCTCTTAATTTTTTTTAACATCATCATGGATTGTTTTTTTCCGAGAATTGTGGTTGCCCCTGAACTGATACTGAAGAATGGCTAGAGCTTCAAGTTGGTTACACTGTTAGTGATAGCAATTGTATTGGAAAGTTTGCTTTCAGGATCATCAAAAGTGCTACTGTTGCACTTAAGACAAATTGTCACTTATTATATATTTAATCTTGAAGATTTTAAAGGAACTGATGTTATCTACTCTTAGGTTTTAGGACCATTAGTAAAGATTTTAGTCTTGCATCAAAATGACTTCTGATCGTACTTGCCTTAGAAGAATTACTGATCATCTTTACTCGAGCTCACTAAATGCATTCCACTGGCAAAATTAAAGACAGGGACATAATAAAAGACTTGATAGATGCCTAGAATTTAGGCAAAAAACTTCAAACTGGTGTGTCCTTTAATGAAAAGACTATTTGGAGGTCTGTGGTTCAGATATAAACCACTTCAAAATATTTTGCTTGGTGAATATTTCAAAGTCAGATATTCCTCTAAAAAAAATAAAGTAATGCCACTGAAATCTCCAAACCCACCATAGCAAAAAGCAGTAAGTTGTAATATCCTAGCAAAAGCCAGGTCATTGTGGAAAGAGATGATTGTCCAGAAGTTGCGGTCAGTAGGTCAACATAAGATATTTTCTTCTTTTTTTAGCTTTGAAGCGATTTCATGGTTCTTCAGAGTATCGAAGGGAGATGGAAGACATACAGCGGGAATGTTTTGCCTTAGATGGGGAGAAACCCAAGAAGCCCTGGCAATTATTCACTGATCGTAGTGTGAGATGGCAGCTCATTACTGTGATTGTGATGACTATGGGCCAACAGCTCAGTGGGATAAATGCTGTAAGATTTCATACATATGAATGGCTTAAAGAATTATTTAATTTCTATCTGGTTTTCAACCCTTTATGAAGAATCCACATAGAGAAGCTCAGAGAAATGGGATAAGTGGGAAAGAATATCTTCTATTCTTTCTGTGTTTCTCTTTTTTTCTTTTTTTTTTTTTTTTTTTTTCTGGTATGTAAATTTCTATAAAGAAAGACCAAATACTTGTGTTTACCTTCTTCTGAAAAAGTAAATACAGGTGGATCAGCTTATCCCATTGAGTCTGGTTTAAGAATGTGAAGTATTAAATTCAGTAAGTTGAATAATTATATTTGCTTTTATGATAGCAATGTATTTACCTAGACATTAATTTAACAGATTCTTGTTGCTGTTTATGTCAAATTAATAACTCACAATATAAAATACATTGAGCTGTATGTTTAGTATGAACTTGACTTTGTTTCCAGCTGACGATTTAACTACTGTGAACACCCCTTTTTTTTTTTTCTGTTGTAGATTTATTTCTATGCAACTTACATTTTTGAACAAGCTGGGATCTCAGCAGAAAAAATCCCATATGTGACACTCGGTACTGGAGCTTGTGAATGCCTCACAGCCCTCACCTGTGTAAGTAACAGTTTATTCTACCTCCTAGCATAAAGAGTAAAGATTCTTCTTGAAGAAGAACATTGGTAAATATGAGATCAATATAGTAACAGAAAATTATGTCTTGTCCACAGGGTTTACTGATAGACTACGTGGGAAGAAGATATCTCATCATTGGGGGTTATCTCCTTATGACCCTTTGGAGCATTGTTTTAACGTTCTCTCTGACTTACCAGGTGTAAAGAAGGAGTCATTTATATTACATGATATGACTATAGTCAGTGAAAATCTGTGACACTCAAAAGAAGCTGGAAGACAAAAGCTGCATAGGTTTAAACAGAAGCATAAAAAATGACAGCAATTGAAAGATTGGATCAATTCTGCAACTATATTTCCCTAAAATAAGAGAATGCTCTCAGCTAAGATTTGATCATGTATTTGTCTCAAAGGTGCAGCTCCATTTAATGCTGACAAAACTAAGTGATAACAAAACAGGGTTTATTCTTGCTTTTAAAGTAATGTTAGGATGAAATACTACATAGTGATGATATTAAGCATCGGAGTCCACTTCAGCCACTTAATTGTAAAGCATACAAATAAAAAATATTATAAAGATGCTGAAATTCAAAAGACACTTAAATCCATTAAGTGTAAATTCACAGAAACTATTGGAAACTCACTAGCGATGTTCACAGTGCCTTAAACTTACCATGCGAAGACAACATCCTGCCTTGCTTTTTGACATAGTACAAAGACAGGCATCATAAATTGTTCTGTATACCCTATCAGCTCAAATAATGTAGTCCCACAAACCTGAAGTGAACATTGAGAGGAAATCTCTCTCTACATTTGCAGACTGTACTATACTAAATATTTATTGTTACTTTCGGGTAATCCAAGCAAGATGATGTAGGTGTAGCTCCAACAGTGAGCAACTTGATTTAGTCAGTGTTTGGTCACCTGATAACTCCTCACCTGACAAAAGCTGAAGAGCTACCATTCTTTCCCTCCCCACACCGTCAGTTTTGGAAGCTGCCTTTAAACAGGTGGATCATCTGCAGTCACGTTGCATGTCTGATGTTTGGAGGGACAGTAGGGTTAGGGGCTGCACAGGTTGGCAAGCAGTCCACAGAAGAGGCAGCTACAGTAATTTCTGTGTGCTTGGACTAAACTGAGCTGCTAGGCCAGGCAAAAAGTTGAATGAGCCAGCCGTTAGGCAGATGCCTAGGTTTAATTATTTTATTGTAACTTTTGTAAACTTCTTGGTTTGCTTTTGAATAATGGAATTTCAAGCTTAGGTTTGGTCTTTCTAATGCACCTAGTTTCATAGGTATATAGTAATCCTAATGTTTCTTTACTGCACTATTGACATTTATGTATACATAAATAATGTGATGAGAAGTCTGTCCATGCTATGAAAATGCTTAATGACAGCTAACGCATGGGATCAGTATAAAATACCAGAATACTGACAATATGTTAAACTAGTAACAACACATGATTGTTATGTTGAATAGTGGTGTAGATTTTTAGCCTCAGAGGACTAATAAGTCTCGACAGAAGTACTAGATTCCATTTAGTAAAAATTATTAAATGAACAATATTTAATTTCTCTGAAGCAGTACTGTTAAAAAAAAGTAGCTGTGGACAGCCGTGAATAACTGTTGGGTTTAGTTGCAGTAAAATAGTAAAAGGAAATGCAAATGTTAAGCCAAACTTTAAAACTGGATTATCAAAATCTGAACTAAACCTTCCCATTCTCTTCTGTTCCAGGAACTGTACTCATGGGTGCCTTATGTGAGCATGACATCTATATTTGCCTTCATCTTGAGCTTTGGGTTGGGACCAGGTATGACACAGCAACACGTGTTTTATAGTGGTGAAATGTGTGTCTGGGGCTGGGGGAATGTCAGCAGCTCTGCTGTGTAAGTCAGCCAGTATTTACTGCACGCTGCTGGTGCCCTGGCTAAGGAACGCCAGTGAGCCCGTTGCATCAGAACAGTTCAGTCTCCTGTGGCCTGGCACTGAGGCTTACGTGCAGCTTTCTCAGGGCCAGCTATGCGTCAGGGGTCCGGTCTTAGTTCTGGCCCTCAATTCAGTCGATTTCATACAAGAAGCAAGAAAAAGCCTGTTAAACTTTTAAAGGGGCTCTTGCTTCCTGAGCAGTGCTGCTGAAATAGAGCCACTTTTTAGAAGGACACTTAGTGCATGGGCAGTAGATGAAAAAATGTGCTGTGAAGAATATGTATATATTTTTAGTAGAATCAGATCAGCTAGTGGCATATTCGAAAGCAACTCAATTTTTCTGGCATTGGAAATACCGCAAATGGACATTTAGCATTATAACCTGTTCTGTTTCTGAAACTCGTTCCCCCAGGTGGCGTAACAAATACCCTGACAGCTGAATTATTTATACAGTCTTCACGTCCTGCTGCTTACATGATAGGAGGGACTATTAGTTGGATTAGTTTCTTCACAATTGGAATGCTCTTTCCTTTTATAGTGGTAAGTGTGCATAACACATTTTCCCAATTGCATCACCTCCCATTTAATCTTCTCTCAGGTTCTATTGAATTGCTTTTTCTTACACAGCAACACTTAAACATAGGATGCACACTACCCCTCAAGCGAGTATAACTAGATTCAGTCCTTCTTAAAATATTTTTTAGATATCAACAAAAGATAGTAAAACATGATAAATGAAAGTTAAAAGGAATGCATGGGGGTAATTTTCATGTTCAGATTAAAAAGAAAATGAAGACTGTACCAAAACTAGAAATACTTAATCAGATATTGAGATTCAAATAACACATTTCTTAATAGTGCCTTGTGCTTTTATGTCAAGGTAAAATTGAAGTAGTACCTGGGGCTAGTGGTTCACACCTTCTCTGAGAGCTCACTAAACTTACATACAGAGGGTTCTGTGATGAGGAAGATTACTAGCAAAAGCAATATAAGCTTTCATTTCTAGCTTTGTATTTTCAGTTTTAGCACTTACTCTTGAGAGCAAAACATGCAGGAACAGCATGCAGCAGCCTATCTTGATTTGACAGTCCTTTCTTTTTGGTTGAACTCTGCTTCTCAATAAGAGGGTTTTTTTAAATCTATAGCATTGAAAACTATTAACAAACATTTACAAAAAGATCATATAATCTTAAAATATGAGACAGTTAAGTAGCAAGTGCTGACTTGTCATTACATTGTGAATTGTTTAGTGTGTGTTTAAACAGTTTATCTTTTTTTCTTTTAAATAAAAGACTACCAAGTGTATTGCACAGCACTTGGTAGTCTTTTATCTAAAAAAAAAATAAAAAATTAAAGAGTCAGATGTAAAGTAAGGATAGGTTGAACGTCTTTTTATTAAAAATATCCGAGCAGCAATTTTAGGCGTGAATAGAAACAAAAAGCTTTTTATTTTCCAAAACCCACTGTTATACTTGAAACGCGTTGCAATCAAATTTTATTTTCAGAATGGACTGAAGCAGTATTGTTTTCTGGTGTTCTTACTGGAGTGCTCCTTAGTTGCTGCATTCATCTTCATCGTTATTCCCGAGACAAAAAACAAATCTTTTCTGGAAATCAAAAAGGAGTTTAACAAGCTTAATTTTGGAAGAAATACCAAAAAAAAGGAAACAGAGCTTTATGAAAGACGACAACTCCATGATGAATTTTAAAAAAAAAAAAATCAGTTTAATTTCACAGCTGTAACAGAACTTATTATGAACAGCCTCTTCCAAATTAGCAGTGTAATACCATGAACAAGTAGCTTTTTAAATCCTCCTGTATATTTAGAGGAAGTTTAATTAAAGGCAAGTTAATATTTCTGAAATGCTGTTAAAACATATATTGCTGAAATGCTGTTAACAAGATACAATATTATAGTTAGAAGACTTGATGTTTAGATACAGCTTGATGTTGTAGGGACACAGAAAGGCCAGGAGAGGGTGTTCAACGAATTCCTCCCCACCAGCAGATTTCTTCAGTAGCTCTTCTCCAATTTCTAAGCCCCTTCTTCAGATTCAGGTAATCAAGCATATGTTGGTGCTTTACTGAATGAAATATTCTAAGGCATTAAAACCTAAACAAGAACTGATCTACTGAGAAACTGATCTTTGAAATATTCTAGTTTATATAGAAATTGGGGTGTTTAGTTGCTGTTTTCCACTTAAATAACTTCTTTAAAAGATTTAAGGACATTCTTCATCGAAGTCCTACTACTGTAACTGTACAAAGACAGTACAGCACCTATCTGAATTATTGTTATTTGCAATAAAGCTTATTACAAAGACTTGTTTCCTAAAAGGGTGCTAATAAAACAGTTTCTGAGGTTTGAGTTTGGGTTGATTTTTTTTGCCCTAACCTAGCATCTTAACATTTTCAACTGTGCCGCAGAGTAAAACCTCTTCTAGTTTTGAAGGTCAATTCCCAGCAGACCAAGATCAACATCACAAAAAGCACTAAGCAGCAAGAGAGGACAGATGACAGGAATTAAGTACTTGTCACCTTTAAAGATTTTTCAAGATGGTCTGATAGAACATGCTGAAGGAGACTACAGAGAACTTGAAGGACCTATTGAATGAGCTTTCAGCTTAATCTCCAGCATTTCGTCCAGGACTGTTTTTCAACTTGAAATGAATTCTTCATATTTTAGTAGTAAAAAAGGAAGAAATCTTAATTACATGCTGTGTTTGTGTGCCTCTCTGATACTCACTTCCATACCTGTAATTGCTAGGAGAGTAGTCCCGCCTTACCTATTCCATCTTTTCCTGGTTGTAAGCATTTCCCAGTTCCATTTGCTACTTAACAAGTGCTACAGTAAGCACTGTATTTCTTTTACATTTATCTTCCTTCTCTCAAAATCACAGCTTTTAATGAAAATGTAGGAAGCAAATACCATTTTTTCTGATTTTGGTAAATAAATCAGCTGTTTAATTGAAAATAACATTAACCCTTAATGGTAGAGGTGGCAGTATCAGGAAGGGATCTTCTTGTTCTTCAGTTTATCCTCTAAGTTTGCAAAATATTTCATTTTGGCTAGAAGGTTCTTAGCTTCTTGAAGATCATCTGAAATGGAATAAAACATTACTAGTTTACAGAAGAAGGGCAGAACTTTCATTTTCAAGAATCAATCTCAAGATTTCAATGACAGGGCCCATTTCAATAGTAAGAGCTGCAAGTTGTAAGGACCCATACACAATTAAGACCACGTTGCCTATTATTTTAATCTAGGATGGTTTTGGAACACCTTAACTGAGGTGTTCCACAAAACATGTAAAAATGTACAATTTAGAAATGTGACACGAATACCCTTTGATGACATTTCTGTAAAGTGACTACAGTATCGATGCAGCCACTGGTGAAGTTTAAGTATACAGACAAGACAAACTTTTTTGTATGTAATTAGACCAACTGCCATCACTGAAGAAGCAAAAGATTTGTAGGACTCCAGTATGGACAGTGTCAATTCCAAAACTGATAAGGAAACACTTTCTCCTTAATTAAACAATTGGAGGGGAAAGGTGGTTTATCACCTACTGACAAGTACAGATGCAGCACAATCCTTACCTCTCATAGTACAAAGAGTGACAGATTACAATGTTATAATTCTTCACATGCAGGCCTAGCCAACGCTACTTCACGTTTGATGTTTTACAATTACAACACGCTACTACATAAACCTAACAATAAAAGCATTCTGAGACCCAGGACAGAAATGTAAGGGTTTCTTCCCAGAGTAAGAATCTAGTCTGGAATGGCTCAAGCTCCTGCCTACCAACTGGTATGGAATAAAGTCATGCTGATTACTGCACAGGAAGTCCCTAAAACCTTAGGCTAAATCGGGCATCAAGTCTTTTCTTGCCATACAGCTTCAGTGGTAAGCAGCAGAATTTTTCCTGTCTTGACTTTCACTGCAAAGAACAGCACCCACCGCTCTCCTGAGAGCTTCAGGTCTGCCGAGCAGCATCTCCCAAACTGAAGTCTGAAACCTCAGAGTACATGGTAAGTTTGATTAAGAAAAAGAGTCTGTCCTTCCCAGTATTCTGGGAAACAAACAAACAAGACATTTTTTAGCATCTGCGTTCCCACTCGAAGTGATCATTTCAATGCAAATTGAATTGAGCAGAACTTTTATATTGGAATTTTTTGGTTTTTAATTTAATTTGAGGTCCTCAATTTCCTGCATCAGCAGAAAGGTCAGCTTAGCAGAATTTGTTCTAAATACCAAACAAAGAACACTTGCTTATGCAGTATTTCTTTTCTGTAGTTCAGGAAATATTTGCCAATAAGAGAATGTGGGTTTTTTAAGCATTTATAACTGATATGCATGGCAGCTAAATACTCAATAGAAATAGATACCTCTTTCAAAAGCTGCAGTCACCTCTTTGGTCAGTTCTTCTTGTTTAACTGTAAAACAAATTATTTCATTCACTTTTTGTTACATAGTATAATTAATACCACTGCATTCTGATTGTCTGTGGTAGGAAACTTAATTACTAGTCTTACAGTCTTTTGGGAGCTAAGAGAGATTTTCATATTATTGCTGCTAAATTTTTTTAAAATTATAATTTCAAACAGATATATTTTTCTTTGAACAGGTTTTCAGATAGCAATTCCAATGCAAATCCATGGGTCACTAACTTCCCAGAAATCTAACTTACTTTTGGTGTAACAGTTTACCATGCTACAGTTAATTTTCTTCTATTTCACTTAGCTTTTATTCCAGTTATTCTAATTGCTTTTGGCATACTACTGTTATTGCACAGAATTAAATATACCAAGAAACTACGTTTTGGGTATCGCCAACAATACAGACAAGAAAGTTGCTTGTATAAGGATAATAATCACTTAAGATAATGGTCGCTAAGTTGAAAGAAATACAATGTCTGTATAAATAAAATTATTTAATGTGGTCAGTCAAGTATTTTATTAAACTTCATTTTGAGTAGTTTGTTCTTTTATAGCAGTCTATTTGCCCTAATCTGCTGAAGGTTGAATAAGTTCCTTTTTATGGTCAATATACATATATACACACACCTATTTTGCCATCAGAATAGGTACTATTATAGAGATTTTTCTCAAGCCAGATTTGATGTTTATGTGGTGTAAATCGGTAAAAGCAACATTTGGGGTTGGGGGAGAAACGCTCTTGCAGTGAGCCAATTCAAGACTAATACAAGTTAGAGATACTGAAAGAAATACACTAAACAAGTTCAGTCTTCCAGAAATACTCTAACATTACGCAAGATACAGTAAATTAGTTCTGTACAAAACTGTCAAATCGTAACCTACCTTTAATTAAAGTTTCAATTTCTTCAAGGATATCCTCATTTTTAGGCTCTGCTAATTTCTCATTAATTTCCATGATTTCAGTGAGAAACACTGAGTCTGCATCACAGTCTGTCTCTTGTGCCGGCTCTACTCCATTCAGCTCTAGCTGGTGAAGAAAACAGGCATTTGGAAATACAAATTCTTACAT